CTTATAGCAAATTCAAAGTAAGAGATAAGAAAATAATTCCTTGTAAAAAAAAATAAAATAAATAATAATACATAAGCTACATCTGTCACTTCTGATGATAGCTACGCCCCTGGCGTGACAAAATGTTAGCCTATACATAATACTTTTAAAGCTCTTTTTTTAAATCTTGGCTTACATACATTTCTACATATGCCATGTCCTGCCATAGCATCAATAAACTAGCATCTAACAATGCACAAAAGTGTTTTTTTCTCTAACCATAAAGGCTGCTGTGTAATTTGCCCCCTGACTAAGTATTTAAAGAATTTAGGGGAAGCGTTTAAATAATCCTGTGAATGCAGTTAAAGAATGCAGAATCGAATCGAATTTAATTGTGAATCGAATCGAATTGAATCATTCTGAATTTGAAAACCTATGAATCGTGATTCGAATCGATTCGCTGTCTACCCAAAGATTCACAGCCCTACATGTGAAATATGTGAAACACACATGAAACTTGTGGTTTTGGAACATTTTCATGTTGTAAATGTGTGAAACCCACGTGATCAAGTTTCATATGTGTTTCACGTGTGATTGCACATGTGAAGTTCATGTTGTTTTTCTGTAAGGGCTAATACTAATGGTTTTAAAGTCCCCATGAAATCAAAGTTAAAGTTTTTTGGGTGTTAGTATCAATATGTTAGTCTTAAGGTTATCTATAAGGCAGTGTGCTCCAAAACAGTGACAAAATTCGCATTTAGAAGATATAAGCATTCAAAGCTTGCAGTTCGTCACTTCCGCCAAAACGGCAATTTTTTTTTTGACGTCACATCGTACTCCAGCTTCTCATCAGCACATTATAAATCTACATGGCATGTTCTCAAGTAAATATATGTGTGCTTTATAGCTCAAAATCTAGCCAGTTTATCAAGCAAACTCAGCAGGACGTCACTGCACTGAAGCGTCCAAAATGAACCACTGCCACAAAAAGTCATCCTTCAGCTGCAGAATTAATATAACGAGCTTGCAATTTCATGCCAGAGAGAGAATCATCTGATCGAGGCGGTTCTGCGGCGTGAACCCTCTCTCTCGGACACAGAAACACGGGTCAAATCTCTCCTGCTGAACCTTCTCAACTCACTAACGCTTGAAAAGTGATATGGTTGTGTTGTGAAATAAGGAAGTAATTCGATAAAAGCTTATATTAGAGTTTCAGAAATCTGCTCTGGTCAAGCTCAGACATTCATCTTTATTAATTATGACCTGATTGTTTACACAAGGACAGGAGAAAATGATCGGGATGTCAGTCAGCTTACAGAACAACTTTGTTCTTTTGATATGTTGGAATTATCAAACTGATTTCTGTAATTTAATCAGACAAGATGGTGATGTCACTTCCTGTCACTTTAACTTTTTCGATACTGGTGTTCCCATCATGCACTGGGGCATGAATAATTAATAAGGTTGATTTTTTTTTGCTGTTTTCCAGCTGTATTTACACTGTTTATCATTGCTTTTGTTGTTAGGTTTAGTAACTTGAGATTTTGTTACATCTGGAGATCATTTTCTACTCCAAATGACACATTCATACTCACACAATACACAATGACTGTGACATTTTGGATCGTTTTTAAGTATTGTACACTGTAAAAAAAATTCCGTAAAATTTACGGTAAAAAAACGGCAGCTGTGGTTGCCGGAATTTTACCGTAAAAAAATACGGTAGCAACGTTTTAGGTTTTACGGTTTACATTTAAATACCGTAATTTCATTCACTGATATAATGTTATTATATACCAACCTATTGAAGTACTGAAATCTGTTTTGTACCTTTGTAATACAGTAACCACCAAATGCAGGTGGTGATGAGAAAGTCACATGATGAACCAAAGCCCATCACAAGCAGCTTTTAAATAATAACATATATAGAAGCTGCACAGTGTCATTCACACAAACACCAAACACCATCATGATAACACACATGAAACTGAAATAATGCAATAAACATTCATTTAACAACATTAGGTGTAACACACAACCCTAATATACAAAACTGATAAGAAAAAACTAAAAAGAAACATAGTTATTTAACAAAAAAACATCAAATTTGAAATGTAACACAGGGAATTCTGGGAATGTCAATTTACGGTTAATCACTGTAAATTATACTGTCTTTTTCACTTCCAAAAACGGTATACTACCGTAAAATTAATGTCCAATACATGTAATGTCCAATACAGTTTTTCACCGTATATAGTAGGGGAATTTACCGTTAACCATTTAACAGGTTTTTACTGTAGCATTTTTAAATTTGAAATGTAATGCAGGGAATTCTGGGAATGTCAATTTACGGTTATTCACTGTAAATTATACGGTCTTTTTCACTTCCAAAAACAGTATACTACCGTAAAATTAATGTCCAATGCAGTTTTTCACTGTATATAGTAGGGGAATTTACCGTTAACCATTTAACAGCTTTTTACTGTAGCATTTTTACAGTCTTTTACTGTTAAATTCACGGTGATTTTTTACAGTGTAGTCTCTGTGTTCAGTACACAATATCTATATTGTATCATTTACTTACACTTTAAAAGCATGGTTTAATTTAGTGCTGTATTGAGCTTTGACTAAGTAAAAATTACTCAGACTTTTACTGGCCAGCTAAAATTACATATTTTATTTGTTAAATTAGCATAACCTATATAAGCAGAGTTTACTTCTATATGTGAAATTAAATATAATTCAGTAAAGTTTACTTTATTTCTTTATGAATGTTAAGTTCAGTAGTAAATAGAGTTTCTTCTCGACAGTACAGAGCAGTAAAATTTACTTAAAATGTGTTACGAGGATTTTATTTTGTAGGATCCAACAAGTAATTTTTTTCAGTGTGAATGATAACTGGCTTTTGCTAATTAAAGATTATACAACTATACATGGTGCACATTATGACATAGGAGAAAAAAATATGAATTGAGAACTAATTAAAACAAATTATCAGTGATTAGCTTATATAATTGAATATATCTCGATAAATTGCAGTTATTCTCTTTTTAGATGTTATTGAATCAGTGAAGGATATTATAATCAAACTGCTTATAGTCAATATAAAATTGAAATATTGCAGGTTGGATAAAATCATTAAATAAAATAATTTTTCACTGAAAATATAATATAAGCAGAGTTTACTTCTATATGTGAAATTAAATATAATTCAGTGAAATTTACTTTATTTCTTTATGAATGTTAAGTTCAGTAGTAAATAGAGTTTCTTCTCGACAGTACAGAGCAGTAAAATTTACTTAAAATGTGTTACGAGGATTTTATTTTGTAGGATCCAACAAGTAATTTTTTTCAGTGTGAATGATAACTGGCTTTTGCTAATTAAAGATTATACAACTATACATGGTGCACATTATGACATAGGAGAAAAAAATATGAATTGAGAACTAATTAAAACAAATTATCAGTGATTAGCTTATATAATTGAATATATCTCGATAAATTGCAGTTATTCTCTTTTTAGATGTTATTGAATCAGTGAAGGATATTATAATCAAACTGCTTATAGTCAATATAAAATTGAAATATTGCAGGTTGGATAAAATCATGAAATAAAATAATTTTTCACTGAAAAATACATCACATTATGGGAGTAAACATTGGGTTGCAAATGCAGCGTTTTGTCTTTGCTGGCAGTAGATTTGAGCCCTCAGTTTGGGTGAGATCAGATATTTTATGACCCATCTGGAAATTAATGTTGTGTTCAGCAGTAATTTTATATGCAGACTCACCGGTTATACAGTGAACAACCTGCTGTATGTGTACATAAATGCATTTCTCAGATGAGATGCATGAGTTAACAGAGACGGTTGTTTGAATAGATTTTAATGTCTGGATAACCCTCTACAATACACAGCTATTTTTACAGTTTCTACCATTATTGCCCTGGAAAAGTATAGTTCATTTAATAGCGGGGTATGCTCAAATTTGATAAGAATACTTGAATAGTCTTCTTCCATGTGGAACATATTGGTAAAGAAAACACATGATCTGCTATTTAATGAATTTCAACAATAATTTAAACAGGAAAACAATTTTAAAATGGGAAAGAATTAATATCGTATAAATATTGTATTTTGTCACTCTGGATAAATGAAACTGCCCCAATAGAAATGTGACAACTTGCCCCAAACCTGAGCTTTATGATAGATACCATGCTGGGGGGAAAAAAGGCTCGTCTCTCAGTTTGGTCAGTTTAAACCAGTTTAGGTCAGTAATCCATTTTAGTCAGGTTTGTTTCTGCAAAAATCTGCATTATATATTCGGGATTTGAGAGATGCATTCAATTTTGCCCACTAGATCATGTGGAAACGACATAAATCTGACGCTTCTATTTATAATGTCGCCGGTTTTTAAATGCATTACTTCACTAATTCGAAGCGCCTCGTAGCGTCACGCGTCAGCGGTAAACCGAATTGATTTCCAGCTGATCTATAGAGTCCGATAGTGTACGTGGATGCGCAGGGACTCGTGAGCCACTCAAGTGAGAGCTGCAGATCAGACAGTTACTCAGATTTAGCTGCAGGTTTGAGGAGCTAGCAGTGCTGTCAGTCTTTGGGAATATGCAGGTAGAACTTGAAGGTAAGAAATATATCTTTGTGCGTCTAGTTTAGATGTTTTGTTGATTGTTTTGCGTGCAATTCATGTTTGGTTCATTGGTAATCATGAGGAAGATAGGCTGTCATGCATGAGTTTTTATACTATACTATACCATTCTATACTAAGACAAAAGCAGCACCTTAAAGCAATTATTTAAAGATCTGTGAGATGTTTAAAATATAATTTTCACAAATATGCACGTGTGAGATTTTGCTAAATGTACTCGAAAGACAACATGCAGTAGTACAGGAGACACAGCTGGCATGTGACTTCATAGTTGACTGTTATTGAATAGATTAATTGAGTTATATGCATACACGTCGTTATGAACTGTCACAGTCTGCGGCTTGACATCAGCTGGGCTCTGGTTCTGATCACAGTGATTACAAACCAGGGCCATTTCCTCTGAGCCTTAATGCGATCAGAGATGATGAGTTGCATTCGGACAGAAAGCAAACCCTCAGAGTCTGTGCGTTTTCACCGTGAGATTTCTAGGCCCACTACAGCAGAATGTTTATTGCTTAACCACATAAAACACTGTAGGGGTGGACGGCACGACCAAACTGCTACGAGTCATTAAAATCACTGATGATTTTAGTGAAATCATGCTGCAGTATATTCAGACATGTGCCATCAATTCAGTCCTATTATAAATATATTCAACTGAGGCTTCAGAATTTATTATTTATGCATTTGGAAGAATTCCAAATTCTAAGTATGCATTCAAATGTAACAATTTATCAGTTCATGCATTCCCTAAGAATTTAACCCATGATATTGGCGTTGCTAGAAATTATAGATTTTGACTTTATATTGATTACGTGTGTGTTTGTTTAATAGTGCATCTCCAAATCTTATTGGCTGTTGGCTTGGCCGTTCTCTGTTTCTGCCTGGTGATTGGCTGCATCGTCTGCCGTTGGCTTCATAAGTCCCGCCTCACAGATGATAAGAAGGCGGGGCTTTCCTTACCCCCTCTACCTGCAGATCATGTGACTGTGACTCTAAGCCCCTCCCCTTCCATCAACACTCTGCCAATCAAACAGCAGTATGAGGAGCTGGACGGAGACGTGCTGGACTATCCCTCATTTAACAGCAGCTCGACACCGTCAGAAGACGATCTTTCTTTACCATCTTATCCTCACAAGTCTCGTTTCAATCTACGGCGGCTCAGCTCCCCCGCCGTTCCCTACAAACCCTCTAAACCTGTCCGTGGTCGTTCCTCACTCCCGACCATTCCTAAGCTCGGCCTGGTTGGGAAGTCGTGCCGGGCGGTTGATCACAAAAGCGGTGATGCATACCGCGGAATACACGATATAGCAAAATCTCGAACGATAGACACTTTATTTCGCGGTAACGATATATACCGTCATACCGCCCTGTCCTAGTTACAGTGCATCGTACACCAAACGACTGAAGGCAGGAATACACTACTTGACTTTTGCACAGATTTACAGTCTGGACTAGTTGACGGTAGTTGCTGAAATAGAGCCGTGATACAGTCGCAATTGTGTTTTAAAGTCAGAATTGCAAGATTCAAACTCACAATTCTGAGAAAATAAGTCAGAATTGTGAGATGTGAACACTGATTGAAAAAAATCAGTATTGTGAGATAAAAAGTTGCAATTTACATTTTTTATTTTTGAATCATGTAGTGTATTCCATCCTTGAGGATCACACACTAACAGACCTCTCAAGTCGCTCCGATGACAATAAACTCATGCAGAAACATGCGTCTCGTTGCAAGGAGATGCATGACAAATGAAAACGATGAGTTCTAAAATTGGCTCAAAACACAAAAAGCATGCTTGAAACCTCCATCTTGATGGAATCATAGATTGGAATATAGTACACGAATTAAAGTCTGAACAGATTTTAAAACACTATGCATCATATTTTCTGACTTTGTAAATGGTTACAGAGAGAAACTGGGCATTATACACCAAACAACTGAGAATCACAAACTAAGCTGTTCCAAAAACGGCAAATTCAACCAGAAACATGTGACAAATGAAAACGATGTGTTCTAAAATTGACCCCCCCCCCAAAAAAAAAGCTTGAACTTGATGGAATTGTAGTCTAAGGCTAAAGAAAAGGAGTCTGTGCCCATCATGCACTACGCACATTTCTGCAAAATCTCTCAACTGCAAACTGACTTTTGCCAACTAGCATTGATGCAACCAGACCGCAAATCTTGGTAAAAGTCATGCAGTGTATTCCAACCTGTAATCAGACAAACATATACAGTTGTCCCACCCTAATCTCATTCATCCAAAATCCTACTCTGTTGGTAACGACGGAACTTACTATCATAGTTGCTTTTGGGAAACGCACCCCTAATTGGCTGTGATTTCAGTATGACTCAACTGGTTAAGAAGAACCAAAAGTGTTATTTGACCTCATAGTTTGTGTTTGATTACTGCTGAATCCATCAAATGATGCAGTTTTGCTCGAGTGAGTCAGTCGAGAGGATGATGCCCAGAGGAGCTTCCATTGACAGCCACATAAAATATGATGTCAGTAGAATATAGTACAGTAATGGAAGACATTTTTATCCAATTTGACTTTGCATTGAAGCTGTGCATTTTATCAGTTCATGCATTCCCTGGGAATTGAACCCATGGCAGAGGAATGCAAATAGTACGTGACCTTCTCAGTTGTGAGATCTGGAAAGGTTTCTGTCTGCTGTCATTATAACACAAACGCTACAGCAGTGGGATTGCACGACTGCGTGACTAGTGTGCCAACAAGTGGTGCGTTAGTGTAGCCTGGAGCCAGTGTGCTGTGCCCTGCAGAGAGATGGACACGAGCCAGCGGAGTTCAGTAATGCAGCAGAGATGCATCACAGAGCAGAGGAGGAAATACAGAGAGAGAGAGAAGAGGAGGAACTAGAAAAACTGTGAATGTGGGCCTGACAAGAAACTCTACAATGGTTTGAAGGGTCGTTTAAAGTCTTAGGCCCCGATCAGACAGAACACGTTTTTTGCAGTGAGAGGCGCCTTTTTAAAATTGTTTTCTATTTGCAGTGAGCATTTGTTGTTTCAAGGTGTGTAGGCCTTGGCAGGTGGTTGCTAAGATAGATAGATAGATATTGGATGGATGGATAGATAGAGATTCAGATAGATATTCAGATAAATAGATATTCCGATAGATGTTCAGATAGAGAAATATTCAGATAGATATTTGGATATTCAGATAGGTATTCAGATATTCAGATAGATAGATATTCAGATAGATAGATAGATAGATAGATAGGTGGATATTCAGATTGATAGATATTCAAATGTTAAGATAGATATTCGGATATTCAGATATATAGATAGATATTCGGATATTTAGATAGATATTTGGACATTCAGATAGATATTCAAGTGTTCAGATAGATATTTGGATATTCAGATAGATAGATATATAGATAGATATTAGGATATTCAGATAGATATTCGGATATTCAGATAGATAGATATATAGATAGATATTAGGATATTCAGATAGATAGATATATAGATAGATATTAGGATATTCAGATAGATATTAGGATATTCAGATAGATATTTGAATATTCAGATAGATATATAGATATTAGGATATTCAGATAGATATTCAAGTGTTCAAATAGATATTTGGATATATAGATAGATAGATATTAGGATATTCAGATAGATATTCAAATGTTCAGATAGATATTAGGATATTCAGATAGATATTCAAATGTTCAGATAGATATTAGGATATTCAGATAGATATTCGGATATTCAGATAGATGTTCAGATGTTCAGTTAGATATTCGGATATTCAGATAGATATTCAGACATTCAGATAGATAGATATTTAGATATTCAGATGGATTGGATAGATATTGACATATATACAGTATATATACACACAGTATATACTGTATATATATATATATATATATATATATATATAGACAGCGTGAGAGAGAGATAAAATTGCTGTCAGTAGAATAAAATAATTCCCATGATATCAGGTGAAAACCCCTGAAATAAACCAAATGTTACTAAGAAAATACATTGAGGTATTATGTGGGGAGGGAGAAAACATCTTTATAAATATATACAACTATATTTTATATTATTAACAACTGAAACAGAATTATGAGTTATAACATTGATACTTTAGTTAGTAATTCCTCTACACTGTTTTTATGTGAAAGCCAAACTAGTTCTGATAAGCTCATGGAGCTCATTTGCAGATACCTCACCTGAAACCGTTTCCCATGTCACCACCTTCAGACAAAATAAGGACTACATCATTAAAATAAAGAAATGGATGTCTTCCACTGAGGCTTCATTAAGTTTGAAAATGTAAGTGCTAGACAAAAAAACTAATTTGTCTCCATGGAGAAGCTCTCTTTGACAATATCCAAAACCCAAAAGAGGGCAAAACATTCCAGGGGTCAGCTATTTTGGCACTTGATTATCAGAGACGTAGAGATTGAGTGTGGTCTGAATTTGGTGGATGTAGCTTTAAAACTCTTGGAATTGCAGTTGAAGGTTTTGGTTTGCTGAAGTTTTGTCAGCATAATGAATAGACGTTACGTAATGAACACGTCTCGTTCCAGTAGATGCTGGGTTTGATTCAGCGTGGGCTCAGAGTCACACTGAAAACACTTCAGTGCGTTTGATGCTGATGTTCAGATGTAATTGGGCAGTGAGTTTGTGCTTCCTCTGACAGTCTAATACGATTACGAGGAGATGTTATTTGAGGAAAGTGCTAGAAACATTCATGATCTGGAAAGATCCATGTCTAGATGCTTGGCAAACATGCCTCACATCTACTCCAGACAGTAGTAATTATAATTCATCATAAATCTCAAATGCATCTTTTATTTTCCTATCAGCTCTTTCACATCACGTGTTTGTGTCCGTTCAGAGTCAGAGTTCCCAGGATGCAGTGGGGGACGTCGGGGCTTCTGTTTGTCCGGTGCGCTTTCTGGGTCAGATCCTGATTCTGCTGCAGTATCAGACGCTGGCGCATCGCATGAAGGTGATGGTGAGGAAAGCTGAGAACCTCCCCAAACTCACCAGGATGCCTGGCACTCCAGGTCTGTCTGTCTGAATGAATACATTTCTTGCACTTTGGAAAAAAGTGTCTGATGAATAAATGTAAATTTCCTGTATACATGTTTAATGTTCATGTTCAGAGTAAATCGGATACATTGTTGGGGAAAGTTACTTTTAAAAGTAATGCATTACAATGTTGCGTTACTCCCTAAAAAAAGAAATTAATTGCGTTACTTAGTAACTTTTTATGGAAAATAGTGTTACATTACTTTTGCGTTGCTTTTTCACATCTGGCCTAAGCTTGCATGTTTGTGTTTAATGAAAAAATTGTCTATTTTTGGCAAATGTAAAAGCCCTTTCACACCAAAAATTAAATGAATAGGCCTCAGGCTGAAGGAAATGTAAATTTACGTCTGTACAGTAGAGGGCGCAGCTCTACAGTAGAACTACAGTAACATCATGTTCACACAGCGCACACAATGCCTCTGCTCTTACTCCCGATTTCTCTCAACATGGCGACATGACAGCTGTCAGATATTTACTTGTGAATTAAAAAGTAATGCATTACTTTACTAGTTGCTTGGAAAAAGTAATCTGATTACATAACTCGTGTTACTTGTAATTCATTAACCCCAACACTGGTCAGATAGGTAGATAGATAGATAGATAGATAGATAGATATTCAGAAATATAGATAGATAGATAGATAGACAGATAGATATTCAGAAAGATAGACAGATAGATAGATAGATAGATAGATAGATATAGATATTCAGAAAGATAGATAGATATTCAGAAATATAGATAGATATTCAGAAATATAGATAGATAGATATTCAGAAATATAGATAGATAGATAGATATTCAGAAATATAGATAGATAGATAGATATTCAGATAGATAGATAGATATTCAGAAATGATAGATAGATAGATAGATAGATAGATAGATATTCAGATAGATATTCACTTCGGATAAGCGCGTCTGATAATGAATAAATATAATTTTCCTGTCTACATGTAAAATCCTCATATTCAGACTAAATTAATCAATCGTGCTGAATTCAGAGTGGCCGTCTGTTTCTGTAGATCACTATGTCGTCATCAACCTGCGTCAGGACGGTAAAGTCATCAGCACTAAGGAGACGAAGGGCGCCAGTGGAGCGAACGCGGTTTGGAACGCACCGTTTCTGTTTGACCTGCCGGCAGGTGATATCAGCGGGCTGCCGCTGCTCCTGGAGCTCCTCGTGATGCAGGTGAGAAGAGCTTCACCATTCAGTGCGTATCTGCTGTTATATGACTCGTATCACATGTCTGAGAGTCACGCTTTGATGTGTCTTGATATTTTACAGTAATGACATCACTCTGTCTTTGATTGACAGGGAAGGCTGTACACGAAGAGTTGCATTCTGGGTCGTGTTCTGATTGGCTGCGGAGGTTCTGAAGCGGGAAACCAGCACTGGAGTGAGATGTGCAGCAGGCCGCAGGTGGAGACGGCATGCTGGCACGAACTCCAACCAAACTCCTTATAGGCCAGCAAAGTTTGATTGACATGCCCCCGAGCCAATCGAATCGCTCACTGTTACACTTCTCGTTTCTTTATGGATTTTTGGGATGGAACTGCGGAACCTGGTTTAAGGAGACTTGAGGAAAGTTTGTGTTGAATTCTAATAATATCTCTAATGTACGGCATCACTGCAGGGTGTCATTATGGCTCGTTAACTAAAATGTCAGATGCTGCTTTTGCACTAGTGAAGTGATCGGTGTTGTTGCTGCTGCTGTTAATTAAAACACGTGTTTAGTAATTGAAATGAAGCTAAAATAAAATTAAAAATATTGGATGAAAAACCTAAACTTAAAGGGGTCATATGATGCGATTTCAATGTTTCCTTTCTCTTTGAAGTGTTACAAGCTCTTGGTGCATAAAGAAGATCTGTAAAGTTGCAAAGACTAAAGTCTCAAATCCAAAGAGATATTCTTTATAAAAGTTAAGAGTCAGCCACGCCTACCTAAAACGGCTCGTTCTAACACGCCCCCACATACCTACGTCAC